ACATACACAATATGCTTATAACTACAAAGTGATTTAGGAATCATTTTATTATTCTGAGTTTTATTTCCATTGGCACTCCACCAATACCAATGCGGTAAATCCACACCTCGTTGTTACAAACATACCCATATATGTTTATAACAACTAAGTGATTTATGCTCCATTGCATTTTTCCGAGTATTATTTTCATTGGTACTCCACCAATACATATACGGTGAATCCACTCCTCGTTGTTACAAACATACCCATATATGTTTATAACAACTAAGTGATTTACGCTTCATTTCGTCAATCTCATCAGAAAATCCACACATTTTCCATTATAGTGCATAAGTTAAAGACTTATCCTTACCTCAGTGAGTGTTGGGTTTGGGTTCTTGGTAACTCCTCAAGTTCCACCGACACCGCCTCCAACCTTAGGATCTTTCCTCATCCCACCATATAACATAAGGTTAGTCACTTATACCAAATATCACTTAAACAACTTATATTGCATTATTTAACCATACAAGATATTCATCATATTTTCAACTTTAGAAAGTAAACTCATCTCATACCTCTAGCATTTTCACCATTTTCCATTTTAACCACATTTTCTCTTTAGGGTTTTGGGGTTTTCATGACTAACCCCACACACCCTCTCATTTCTTTAAATACTAACTTTATACCAAGAGTTTACAAGGTCAAACCACATAAAATGAACCATAACTCAAAAAGGATGAATTTCCATGGTTTCTCTCACTTTGAGAAGAGATCCATAATACCAAAAATGGGTTTTCAAGAGAAGAAGAGAGTTAGAAGAGAGAGTTTTACCTCTTCTCAAGCTCTTGAACAAGAATAAAAGCTCCTAGATCTTGGGAATGCTCTCTTCTCTCACCTCTCTTCAATTATTAACCTAAAAATGTATTTGGGTTTTCCCTCATTTAATGCTCTCGTCGGGTTCTCGCTTAAGCGAGCTGATTCTCGCTCAAGCGATAAAATCCCGCCGATTTTAAAAAACTCAGATCTGACCCTCTCGCTCAAGCGAGGGATTCTCGCTCAAGCGAGAATCTCACAGTGTCCACAACCCAAAATGCTATTTCTCGCCCAGGCGAGATAACTCTCGCTCAGGCGAGAATCTTCTAGTATACTCCTGGATTTTACCCTCCCAGGTAAGCCTCTCTCGCCCAGGTGAGAATCTCTCGCTCAAGCGAGGATCCTCCAGTATAACCCAGTATTTCACCCACCTAGGTGAGTCTCTCTCTCGCTCAAGCAAGAATCTCTCGCTCAAGAGAGGATCTCAGGACTGATACTATAAATTTAAAGACTTAAAATTTAGGGTGTTACAAGACTTGTCATTGTAGGTGGGCCGAGCCTGAGCACTCAAGGTTGTCAAGGGAGAAGAAGGTTGTCTCTAAGCAGCAACAATGGAGAGTTCCTGAATGAGAAGCTTTTCGAGCAGGTCATCAAAAGAGAATGGGATATCCCGTGCATTGACGCCGTCAATGACTGCTCTGTAGCCGTCGTCAAGGCCACACAAGACATGATCAGTCATGTCCTCAACATAGACATGAGAGCTAAGGGAAGCAAGCAGATTTGTTGTTTGCTTCAGAGAATGCATATTGGTTGTAATGAATTGAGTACCTTTGGAAGCCACAGAGAGACGCTCCTTTAACTGCTTGAGATGGTTGTGAGATGCCTTAGCATATGCGCTCTTGAGATGGGTCCAAAGATCATGCGAGGTCTTTGTTTGAGACTCTAGAGATAATACTTTGTTGGAAAGGGTGGTGAGGATAGCACCAAAGATGAGGCAGTCCTGTCGACACCAGGTTTTATAAGCAGGATTCGAAGTCGTCACCAGAGGTGATGTAGTGGTGAGATCGTTTCTGGCGGCGCAGGAAAAGATCCATCTGGATATTTGAGGAGATCATAGCCATAAAGGAGAGCTTTAATTTGGAGTTTCCAATTAAGGTAATTGGTAGAAAGAAGCTTGGTGTCACAGATGAGAGTGATTCAAGGAAAGGGTTTTGATGGCTCATAGGGATTGGAGATGAAGAAGTTGTTGTGGCTAGCCATGGGAAGCAAGGGGACGAATGGCGTCCTGATGGGAAAAAAGAAGAGGATGCTGGATCTGTTTAGGCTGATATCATATAGAAGATAGGTTACAAATTGAATTGTTATTTGTTATTAGTACTCAACAGTATATATATACAAAGTTACAACCTAATATGGAGAGAATAAATCTAACAAATCTCCTTTACAATAATTTAGGTTTCACTTTAAAAATCTCACACAAAGATTCACTCTATTGGAAGCACAAGACAGGTGGATGAAAGGGGGAACATATTATACATTGTGCGCTCACCCATGTTGGACTCCTCTCTAAGTAGGAGAGTTGGATCAGGTGCGGCAGCGACTACGCGAGGAGGAACGTACCCTCCACTGCACCAACTTTTTCTCTTTCTCGTAAGAGTTGGATCTGGTGCATCGCGTTGATGACCAATGACACAAGTCAGCATATCCAACATCGTAAGGGACGGGAGCACGCAGCTTCCTCTGAGACCCACTGCACCAACTTTTTCTCTTTCTCCACTTTACAAAATGTTTTCTCCTTTTCTTAACCTAATACCCCATATTTATACAAACTCATATACCACTCAACTCCCTAAAATCTCTCAACCTCCTATCTATCTCAACACTAATTAAAGGATTAGATCCCATTAACATACCTGATTTGACCTGGTTAGAACCCACATTTATTATTATTATTTTTAAAATTAATTCAAATTTTTATTTTAATTCAATGTGGTAGCTTACAAAAATAATTTTATTTAATTTAATAAATCCAAAATTACTTATAAAAAACTAATAAAAATAATTCCAATTATTATTGTATATTTAATATAATAATTCCGAAAAAAATAATATAGGACAACAGCGCAAGCGCTATTATACAATTGACAAATATGACAACACAAACTACACAGTGTGTTGCCTTATAATTCATATATAACAGCGCCACTTGAATGGAGCGCTGTTAAATAAAAAACTGTGCAACAACTGAGTGTATAAGGAACGATGTTGTACTGATCACGTACAACAGTGTTTATCATGATCATCTCTTGTATTTCATGTTTACAAACAATCATACAAGTACAGTTTGTATGCAAATTACAAACAAACAAAATTATGCTATATTTATACAAAGATATGCATATATTTTTGGCTTGTAATATCATTGTCCTTCCTAGTAAGAATTTCATTCACCCAAAGCCCCTCATCATGATCATCTCTTGTATATAAATCATCATTTGTAGTTGGTCCGCTCTCACGCGACAATGATATCCCAAAAAAAGGATCATCTTCAGCATCAATATCTTCATATTCTCGGTCATTAATATTATTGAGGATTATTTTGTTAGTCAAAAGAACAATGAACCATTTCTTATTTCTTGGGTCACTAACAGAATATTTGTTGAGTCTGTGATACTAGAATAAATAGTTCATTATATTCTGGCCTATTAAGACCCGCCTGCATGAACCGCAACTCATCAACTCGAAAGCCTTGTTATCAACCCACATACAACAAAAAATCGGCACCCGAAACATTGTGTAATCCAATTACCATATTTGTTTAATGACCCAAAAGTATGACATATTTGCATAAATTGGGTTTCTATCTTTGGCACTTGAAATATGTAGAGTTCGAGCAATAATAGTCACACCACTATTTTGCATTTTACTTTGATCATCTTGTTTTTCTGTATAAAATGTGAACCCATTAAATAGATAACCACTGTAGGATAAGACATGAATACTTTGACCATCGGCTAACAATTTCAATCTTTTGGAAACCGAATCCGCATTTATATTCAACCCCTCATCAATGTAATGTTTTATCCACTTTATGAAACACCGATTATGCTATTTGGAAATCCAATTTTCATTCTTACTTGGGTTAGACTTCCTAAGCATCTTCATGTGTCTTTCAACATATGGCTCAACCTTGTCAGCATTATGTAAAACATACATGTGTGGTTGCCCCAATTCACTTCAACAATATATCGTTCAACAATACAACCCTCTGGTCTTGAACGATTCTTCACATACCCTTTTAATGTCTTCATATAACGTTCAAAGGGATACATCCATCTCATGTAGCAAGGACCACATAGTTGTATCTCTCGAACAAGATGAATGCTTAGATGGACCATTATGCCAAAAAAAGAACGTGTGAAATACATCTCAAGCTCAAACATAGTCAAAATAATTTGTCTTTGCAATGCAAGTAATTTCTCAGGGTCAATAACTATGCTACATATTGCCTTGAAGAAGAAGCATAACTTAGTTATGGTTCGTCCTAATTTTTTTAGGTAGAATAGACTGTATGCCAACAGACAAGAAATGCTCATTGAGTACATGGCAATCATGAAACTTAAGACCTATTAACTTGAGGTCCTTCAAAGATACGAGGTTTCAAATGTTGGAAGAGTACCCCTCTGGAACTTTAAAACCATGGATAAATTTACAAAATTCTAATTTCTCCTTCCTCGACAAAGTATAAGTTGCTGGAGGTAGAAATGTATGCTTTCCCTTCATTATTGGGCACAATTATAATAATAGAATCAATAGGTAATTTCTGGATATACTTCATCAGATGTGCACAGTAATTGTTATTCTTGGAGACCACCTCCCCTGATGATTCTTTATTTGATGACTTAGACCGTGACTTATTTTCTTTATGCTTGGACTTCACCACTTTGGTCTTTTTGGATGCATGTTCTACTTTGGTAGGGGTTGTTGCACTATGTTCATCTATCACCATTCCCTGAAATATTCAATACAAATCATATCAATTACAGATCAAAATAAATATGTAATATGAATGAGGATCAGGTGAAAATCATACCTTAGTAGGAAGTACATCCACAAGATGTACTGGCCAAGCCACAAAAGTGCATATAGCCCCTCCCAATGTGATGATATCCACATCAAGAGGAATTGGCAGCAATGCATTGTCTTCAATTTCAATATCAATTGTGACCCTCACATGATTGGGTGGGATACGTGAATTATGCAGCATGGCATCCTGTGTGTTGTGCACCATAAAAATACCCCCACTACTCGCTTACATGGGATATCCAGGAAGAGTTTGCAAGTACAGGTTCCCTAAATGTTTGTTTAAACATATAATTAGTTTAGGAATATAATTACACTAAAGATCAAATAGATTAAAATTAGTTAACTAAATTACCTGTGGAATGAGAATGTTGTTTCTAGGATACGTACAACTTTCACTGACCGTAGAAGGTTGATGTCCCTCAGCCTCTTTAATTTTCAATATATGTTCTAATTCAATGATTCATTCCGTGAGGTCCATGAATCGGCTCTCCAAATCAGCTACAACAGCTTTGGTTGCACGCTTTTCACGGGGTTTTAATGTATGTTTGCTAACCCCAAATCCAGCACCCCGTATATGACAAGAGTATTGAGGCAGTCCTAATGCCTTATCAAGTACCGCCTGAATATCTGAGGTTTGCAGCAAACTTGTCTTTTCTTTTAGGGTAACCTGACACATCAAGAAAATACGTAATATTAACTAATCACATTGATAAATAAAGTATGGAAATCAAGTTTAATTAAATGATAAGTACTTACAACACGGTTTACTACTTCTTGAACTTGTTCGTTATTGACAACACCTTTCTTGTTCTTACGAGCATCCTCCCATAGAACATCAAGGTCTACCAAGAAGTGTCGTCTTGTGTCCGAAGAGTCACAAATTTCATCCAATCCGCCTCATCAATGAGATTTGCATATTTGGCTGGAGGCTTCAGGTTGACATTGCCATCAGCATCTTTGAGACTTTTTCCGACATCGGTTCTGAATTGTAAGAGAGCCTTGCCGAAAAATTTGAGGATGTAATGCTTGTGCCCGTCACCAACATAAAAAGTTTCCTAAAATAGATAAATAAATAAAAACTATTACACACATTGCATGAAAACGGATAAATAATGGATTTAACATCTACATATAAGTTGCATTATACACATTGCATGAAAACACAAAAAATATATACATTGCATGAAAACACAAAAATACATATATATTGCATGGAAAGACATATTGATTGCATGAAAACACAACAAAACATATACATTGCATGGAAACACAAAGATGCATATACATATATATTTAATGAAAACAAAGATATTGTTACATTGCATGAAAACTTACTATTATATCTTCCCAAATACGATCCTTCACTGAGTTCATCCTAACATCATTCCAAGAACTGAATGTTATAGACACATTCCGCCTAACCAATACTCTAATGCAGCTTACTAAGGTGTGTCCACCTTTATTGTTTAATGGTTGGCTCTTCATGTTCCATTCAACATGTAACTTGACATTCTTACTCCTTGAACGAATGAACTTCTTCATGGAAGTGACTCCACGTGGAGTACGTTTCTAAGAGACTGGAGTTTGAGAAACAAATTCGTTTTATTCATTTTGGGAAGCCATTGTTGAAGGTTTGAGAGGTTTCTAAGGTATGCGGTTTGAGAGTATTGGAGGCTTTGAGAAGGTACGTAACAAAACGTTTGTGTATTAAATTTTGATATTTTTAAAATTAAAACGTCGTAACAAATCAACAGCGTTGTTTTAAGGGTGCGGTGTTGAACATACATATGTTCCATATTCAATAGTGCTCTTTTAAGGGTGGGCTGTTGAATATACATGTGTTTAGATATTCCACAACACTCCTTTAACAATACGCTGTTGAAATGCTTTCTACAGCATCGCACCTTTAACAATACGCTGTTGAATAGGTTTGAGTTTAAAAACTCACCTTGAAAGATGCGTTGTTGAATAGGTATTATTTAACAACACATTGTTAAACAAGCACTGTTGAATAGGTAACATGAACAGTTACACCTGCCAATTGTCATCATGGCTACTCTTAGACTTATCGCACATCCAATCAATTAAACATAGATATAAAATTATATAAAACATAGATATTTTAAAATTTCAAAAACAAAATCATTAGATATAAAATTACTTAAACATAATCACTTAGATATAAAATTACTTAAACATAATAACTTATATATAAAATTACTTTAAACATTATCACTTAGATATAAAATTACTTAAACAAAATCACCTAGATATTAAATTTGACAAAACATAATAACTTAGAAATAAAATTACTTATACTTTTCACTTTATTATATTAAGAGTAACATCTTCAACAACACTCCTTTAATAGTGCACTATATCATATTGATGTGTTTCCATATTCTATATTCAACAACGCACCTTTAACAATGCGCTGTTGTATATTCTTGTGTTTCCAACTTCAACAACGCACCTTTAATTGTACACTGTTGCATATACATGTTTTCCATATTCAACAGCGCACTGTAAAATAAGCGTTGTTGAACATATACCAGCGAGTTTTAAAACATGCATTGTTACACCTGCTAATTGCATTCATGAATAGTCTTAAACTTACAGTACATCAAATCACTTATACATAAAAATAGGTAAATAAACAAAAATACAATAAACGAAAGAGGTAAATGTTAATTGAAAATTGTACGTTGTATATATTGAAAATTGTACGTTGAATATATTGAAAATTAAATAAACATTACATTTAACAACATTGAAATCCATATGTTATAATCTCTTAAAATCTATACATGTGTTACAATCTATACATTTAAATCTTTAAAAACTAAACATGTGTTACAATCTATACATTTAAATTCTTAAAATTTATACATGTGTTACAATCTATACATTTAAATCCTTAAACAACTCTTTAACATCAAACTTGACTAGAGCTGGACAGTGCTGAACGATTACCTGCATATATACAATAGAATTTTCCAAATAGATAATGTTCATTGCCAAATAGAATTTTCGAAATAGATAATGTTCATTGCCAACAAGAATGTTCATTGCACAATAGAAATTATTCAAAATATAAATTAACAGGAAAGAAAGACAATTAAACAGCAAAAAAGAAATTAACATCAACAATATTTTATTCAATCTGAGAAATCTTCTTTGTCCAAAATAGAATTAAGATATTCCATATAATCTGGGTCAGCGTCCCCTGTAGCCTTGAATAATTACCTGTAAGAATATACAAGATTTAATGAATATTAGCTAATGATGAATAATATAATATGAATAATGAAAGAGAAAAAATGAATCACCTTCTCAATATTGTTCCATCTTGAAATATTACATTGTAAGGAAGGTTTCAAAATCGATATTCCCCATCTTTGAGCACAGCATCAAACTTTTCAGCAATATAGTTATAACCCTCTTTTTAAGTTTATTTTGCAATTGTAAAATATAAATCTCATTCACAACAACCTCAATTTTATCCCCCTGTTATATAAATATATAATATGTTCGATCAAATGAAAATCATATTATGAAAAAAATTAAATAAATAACTAAAGCACCTCCAGATCAATGAAAATCATCAAAAGGGAAGGATCTCCAAAAATTTCAACCCGCAAAAGAGTTGAAATTTCCAATTCAAGCTTTCATGATGTATTCTTAGAAAATAGACTAATATCTTTAATGAAATTCATTCCTTCAAAGTTACAATGAATTTCAATCCTTTCATGGCTAAATATATAGACTCAATGAATTCTCGGGAAATGGTATCTTTAACAAAATCCTTGGCAAGTGTGAAAGCAAAATAATTTTGGGAAATTAACACACGTTAATACATGAGAGAATGTTGTTTAGAAACTATAAATTTTTAAATCATATCAAAACAACAGCGCACCTTTAAGAAAACGTTGTATACAATATCAAATCAACAATGCTCATTGAAGAAAGCATTGTAGAAGATATCCCATCAACAACATACACAACAAAAGGCATTGTTGAATAGATTCTAATTAATAGCATAACAAAAAAAGGAGAGTTGTTAAAAAGAACTGTAAGGACCCAAATTATACCATACTTTTTTTGTCCATTTATCTTTAAAGCATGCAAACTTAAGGAATTAGTTTCTCGCTGCCTATTTTCATGTTAACATTCGCAATCTAGTCATGCTTGAAATATTTAATGAATAATTAATCTACCAAGATATTTTGGGGTTCATAACCCATAAATTCACATTTTAATTTCAAAAGAGGACTCCGTCCGCAAGTACATGTCAATTGTAACACCTCAAATTTCATGTTCAAAGTGATTAGAAAAAGTAGAGTGTTGGAGTATATTTTGGGCAATCCTCGTTTGAGCGAGAGGACCTTGCCCGAGAGAGAGACTCGGTGTTCTAATATGAGTTTTCTGGAAACCTCGCTTAAGCAAGGAAGTGGCCACTTGAGTGAGAGAGAAATCTGGAAAAGCTGTGAAATTCTAGATTGAGCTAGAATTTTCGCACAGGCTAGAGAGGAGCCTTAGCAGGCTACCTGATTCTCACCCAAGCGATAAATCCGTGCCCGGGCGAGAGCATCATAATTGAAAAGTTGAAAAGCTGCGAAATTCTAGCCCAAGCGAGTCATTCTCGCCCGAGCGAGGCTACACAGCTATAAAAGTAAAAGAGGGGTTTCAGAAATCCTAATCTTCATTTCTTTCTCCTCCTTTCTATCCCAACGGCGGCTCCACCCAAATGAACCATTCTCCCCTCCACTAAACATCAAAACTCATCAAAATCTATTCCTATTACTTCTTGGTGGCATATTTGGGAAATCTTAAAGGTGAAAAAGGAGCATCGGAGGTTGAAGGAGATGGAGGGAGATGTGGCTCTTTTGCGGAGCAACGAAGCTTACCCCAACCTAAGGTGAGGGAGAAGATGTAAGAACCCGAATTCTACCCTTGAAATTTTTTCTCATTTTAATTCAATTCCATTCAATCACTCATAACTCACATTACCATTTTAATATCCTTACTTCAAAATCTTATTTCCCCTCCTCACACTCAATCCATGAATCAATAACCACATACATAATCATTTTACCTAGAAGTTCTCATGAATCATTCCTGGAACTAATCTTATAACCTATTATATTATCATACAATTAATCTTGCAGAAAAACATAATTCATTCATATCATTCCCTATGAGTACTAAGACCTCAAAGGTTCTGATCCTCCAAAATAACATTACGCATGGTTACAAATATCCAAATAATGGTTAGCCATGATTACAATCATTTAAATCTGCAAGTAGTCATTTAGAATACGAAAAACATAAATAGTGAATCCAAAGTCTAAAGCTCCTAAAGCTCCCGACCTGGCATACTTCATTCGTCTATTTACCTACAATGGGATTATCAATGACAAAAGTACAAAACACACAAAGGAGTAAGTCGTTAATTCAATAAACGTCATTATAAGATAATCCACATTAGAAGAAAGGGTTAGTAAACCATTTTCGAAATTCATTTTGTCTTGCTGCATAACTTGAGCCAAAGTCGCTACACCCCTCAGGGTTAGCTAAAAGCAGATTCTCATCCTTTTTACCAATAAAACACGCCTCATAAACTCAGGCCGAAGTGTTACTACATAAACTCGAGCCGAAGTCTCTACACCCCTTAGGGTTAGCTAAAAACAATTTCTCATCACTTTTGTAAGAAAACATACAGCGTAAACTCGGGTCGAAGTGTTGCTTCATAAACTCGAGCCGAAGTCGCTACACCCCTTAGGGTTAGCTAAAAAATAATTTCTCATCTCTCTTGTAAGAAAACGTGCCGCGTAAACTCGGACCGAAGTGTTGCTTCATAAACCCAAGCCGAAGTCGCTACACCCCTTAGGGTTAGCTAAAAACAATTT